TTTGACAATGAAATTCTCTTAAAACAGAATGTCATAATTTCAGAAAATTAGATTTACCATGAGCTATAATACTTCTTGCTAGTCTCCTCAACTTCAGTTTTACATCCTGTGTACAATTTCATAAGGCTCTAAGAACTGATTTTAATTTTGTCCAGAAAAATTCTATTAAGATGTCTACAGAATTCTATAGAGTGCCTGGCAGTGTTTACAAAAAGGCAAAATGTGGTCATCTGGGGTCAGTATAAAATACAATGCATGTACAAAAACATGATTGTCTTATTTGTGTTACTGCATTAATTTTAAGTAATGTTTTATTTTTTCCAATTAAAGAGTAATATGTTTATTACAGAAAATTTTGAGGCTGGGCATGGTGGCTCATGCCTGTAATCCCAGCAATTTGGTAGGCCGAGGTGGGCAGATTACCTGAGGTTGGGAGCTCCAGACCAGCCTGACAAACATGGAGAAACCCCGTCTCTACTAAAAATACAAAATTAGCCAGGCGTGATGGCACATGCTTGTAATTCCAGCCGCTAGGGAGGCTGAGGCAGGAGAATCGCTTGAATCCAGGAAGTGGAGGTTGTGATGAGCCGAGATCATGCCATTGCACTCCAGCCTAGGCAACAACATTGAAAGTTCGCCTAAAAAAAAAAAGAAAGAAAAAAAGAAAATTTTGAAAATAGGGAAATGGAATGAAACAAAAATAACCTCCATAATCCCTCCACTCTAAGACAACATTACTTGAGGATTTTCTTCAGTCTTTTGCTTTGATATTTTCTTCACAGTGTGACTCTACTCAAAGTTAATTGTAGCTGCTTGGTTTTTTGTTGTTGTTGCTGCTGTTATTGTTTGTTTGTTCTGGCCTTTTTTTTTTTTTTTGAGACAGACTCTCAGTTGCCCAGGCTGGAGTGCAGTGGCGTGATCTCGGCTCACTGCAGCCTCCATCTCCCAAGTGATTCTCCTGCCTCAGCCTGCCAAGTAGCTGTGACTACAGGCATGTGCCACCATGCCTGGCTAATTTTTTTTTTTTTTTTTTGAGACGGAGTCTTGTTCTGTCGCCCAGGCTGGAGTGCCGTGGTGCAATCTCGGCTCACTGCAAGCTCCGCCTCCTGGGTTCACACCATTCTCCTCCCTCAGCCTACTGAATAACTGGTACTACAGGTGCCCACCACCACGCCTGGCTAATTTTTTTGTTAATTTTTAGTAGAGACTGGGTTTCACCGTGTTAGCCAGGATGGTCTCGATCTCCTGACCTCGTGATCCACCCGCCTCGGTCTCCCAAAGTGCTGAAATTACAGGTGTGAGTCACTACACCCGGCCTAATTTTTGTATTTTTAGTGGAGACAGGATTTCGCCATGTTGGCCAGGCTGATCTTGAACTCCTGACCTCAGGTGACCTGCCTGTCTCAGCCTCCCAAATTGCTGGGATTACAGGCGTGGGCCACCGTGCCTGGCCTGCTTGCTTTTTAAATTAACTATATTACATAATTTTCAGATAAGACATAGCTATCCAGAAAGAGCCCTAGAGATGGATAAGGAACCTGTTAGAATGTTCTGATATTAAGAAAAAAAAAAATTAAATTAAAAACCAAAAACAAGTCACAAGGTAAGCAAAACTTTTGTCACTTTCTTTTATATCTTATGACTTCATTTTAGCCATCATTTTATGGCCTGGGAGAGGACTCAAATAAAAGGGAAGGCAGAAGGCTGGGGTGGGAGTACAGGGGGAGAGAAAGAAAGAAAAGTTAAAAAAAAAAAACAAAAAAAGCAAAAAAAACAAAAAAAAACGAGGAGAAAAAGTCAGAATTGAAAAGAAAATACATTTCAAAAATACATCTGGTCCTGTTGAAAGTAACGGCACTCGTGTAAACGTGTAGACAAGTCTCTAGGCTGATTTTTTTTTTAAGTCCACGTATTTGATATGTATTGCATTCATTCCATAGTACACACATTTGAAATTCAGTAAAGAAAAACAGACCCAGATCACAGTTCATTTTTGAGAGTACAAAATGTCTTTTAACTTAATTTTACATTTTGCTTTTCATTCCAATATTGGCAAATTAGATGTAGAGAGAGGGTTAATACAAGAGTGGTGTGGCCACTGGTGAGCAGTGAGAAAGATGTCTCCATCAATGACTTCTTCCCAAGCCAGCTGACGGGCAGCACAGCAAGGCTGTGACCTGTCTTGGAAGCAGTCTAGCCCAGCACAAATATCACAGGCTTTGAAGCCAAAAGGGAACATGTGTTCCTGATGCTTGACCCTTTCCAATTTGTTACAGTGTCCACAACATGCTTTTACCTGGAAGTCTTTTTTTCTGGAAGTGTATGTACTACGGCTGTGTTCAAACATGATACAAAGACTCCAAATGCCACTTGCTTGCTCTCTTCCTGGGAACGGGATGAGGATGTAATCTGAGCTTTTTAGGGTCTGTCTCTACACCGCAACATCATAACACTGAAGTGTAGATTTATAGCATGCTTTATGTATATTTTCTTACTCCCAAGGCCCCCCTTTTTACAGATACATACACAACATGTCATGTAGAAAATATAAATTGTTGATCATACAGGCACTTTCTTCCTTTTTAAACCTTTCCAAAGGTCTTTTTGTTAAATACACCCAGATGCCGTTTGACAGATGAGGGGCTAATTGCTCTGTGAATTACCTCTATCGATTCCTGTTTCATGTTGAGCCAAACAAACAAAAGATATTAATGCTTTGAAAAAAATGAATGATGACCTTTCTCTGCAAACACAGCTTGCGGTCTCTGATTATTGGTGATTCCAGAGAGCAGCGGTCAATCGCAATAGCTGTAACGCTATGATCACTATAATAAGCTTGCCTGACCTTCTCTGCCATGTTAAGTGGTTTAAATTTATTTGCCCAACAACAGAAGAGCTTTCATTTAAAGTCACAGAACATTCAATTCAATTTAAAGATGTAGTGTCTTCTTTCCTCTTCTTCCCCTTCTGTATCTTTCCCTACTTCATACACCTACATGCCAAACTTACTAATTGTTTTACCATTCTAACACTAGCCTGATACCTGAAAAGCAAATTCCTTCAGTTCTTAAAGATTCCAATTGCCATTTTCTTTTTTGTTATTTCTTGCTTTAAGACATTTGAAACACTTTGTTTTTTTCTCTATTTAAGTTTTGTCCATGGTTTAGGTTTAATGTGTGCTACATAAAAAGTCAAGAATCCATGAGCTGGGTGGTGCTAAGCACCCCAGCTTGGGAACCAGAGGTATAGTTCCATTTTTGTCCATAATTAATGGGAGCTTGAACCAATATATCTTTTTTTTGCTTAGGGCAGTTTCTTCCCACTTGGTAAATGAGGGGAAAACCGCCAGGTAATCTACCTTAGAACCTCTTTCCAATTGGAACATACTTATGTTTTAGATCTCTCTACTTAATAGTTTCATATAAATGGCAGAGTTATAACTTGGCAGCTAAGATAAAGTGATGATAGGACCTTTAAGGACTTCCTAACTGTTTCTCAACGAAGTTTTATGATGGAGAAAATATGCAAACCACAAATGACTAAAGCCTTAAATAGTTAGGGAGTTGATGCACCGCCCCACCCCCCTTGGTTTAAGTGGAAATCTCTTGAAAAGGGTACCCCTGACACTTCCACCAATTTCCTGGTAAGAGGCACGCCAAAAATACCAAGGAAGTAGTTTCCCTTAGAATACTTTAGTTCCTGTGCTATAGGATCAAAGCAGGAAGTGAAGAGAAAAACACCACAAATAATCAAAAGACTTCCTGCCTTAGTTTGACATTCTCAAGCAGTTAGGTCTGAATTCACATAGGATGCTGGGTACCTCTAAGGTGACTTTTCTTAGACATTGTCTCTAGTTTCCACTTAAGACAGTGCCCAATAGTACTGCCAAGCCATCTCTTAACCATACTTGACTCGGCTATGTTAAGCACCATGTTGAGTTAAAAAAAAAAAAATGCAAAGCATGGTTCCTCCTTTTATCAGATTCCTTGCTACAGCCTTAAAGTACCAGGCTCCTTCTCAGTATGAGGGTATTTGCAAATGCTATGCGCTTTCTCTGCCTAGAATGCCCTTCTACTCTTTTTCTCTTCAAAATCCAATGTCAGTGCCTTCTGAATCCCTATTCACTCTTCAAAATTTCGCGTGGCATTATCCCTCTTCCAGAATGCCTCTTATACCATCCTATTAAGGATTCACCATAGTACCCAAGGCACACTTTTATCTCAGCACTTTGCGCATCTATTTTATTTACTGCTCCATTTTTCTGTTTTCCCTGGAAATTTGCACTTTGTATCTCAGGTCTCTGCCACAGAACTTGGGGCTTAGGAAGTGTCCAACTGATGTTTGAAAATTAATAAATGAATGGAAGAATACATCTTATTGTAACTGCTATATAACCATTACAAAAGGCAGTGGCTTTAGACAGCTAGGGCTTATGATCACTCATGCATCTGGAGATCAGTTGGGAGATAGTTGATCACAGCTAAGCTTGGCTGGGATGGCTCAGCTGATTGTGTTCTCTGTGTTCTTCGTCTTCCCCTTGGGACAAACGGTGCTGGCCAGGTGTGCGCTCGTGGCTAAGCACAATTATAAGAAAGAAAGCAACACCATGCAATGCCTCTTAGGACGTGCTGTCACTTCCACCTTATTCTTTTGGCCACAGCAAGTCATATGGGTAACCCTAAGTCAAGGGACAAGTTCGTATACTTACCTCCTTAAGTTACACGTGAAAATCACACATCATAGGTCATGGATACAAGGAGAGATAAAAAATTGGTCACAGTAATAAAACCAAACCTGTCAAAACCAAAATACTAACAACCATATTAAGAACAGAAAATTTGAATACTAACAGAGCCATTTGACCAGTCTCCAGTATTAACTACTCTATCTTCATTTCACCAACATATAACCCAGTCACTTTAATGGTATATGTGTCCCATAAATATTTACCAGATTGTGTTAGATCATAGGAAGTAAATAGAGAAATCACAATTGGATGAGTCCTGGTAAATTTAATTTTATGCTTTTTTAAAAAGAAAATATGCACAGCAGGCAGATGCAAGTGTTAGGGACATACAATGAAAAGCTAAATGATGTTTATCTTGTATGTATAAAGACGCTTTTACTTTTGTTTACATACGTCACCATGGAAGCTGGTTTAATAATATTTAAGTCCCCCTGGTGGTTCCACATCCAATGACTCCCTTTCTCAGGACACCTTCTTATTTTCCTTATAACAAGCTTGGGGAAAGTTCAGGTAGGCATTGCTGGGACATCTTCTTTTCAGAGTTTCTGCTCAATCACAGAGCTGATGTTAAATCTCCAAAGTCGAGGCGTTGATTTACCAGGAAGAACATAGTTAACTTAAAAGCAGAAAAAGTCCTGGTGGTAATCCAGCCCTGTGAATTCCTGGCCCTCTTCCCCGGAGGCCCAGTGAGGCCCACTCAATGGGCCAACCCCACACCACGCATACTGGATTGGTGGTCCTCTTATCATAGAAAATTCCACCAGTGTGGCCAAAACATACAAAAGGAAGCACACAAGAAAAATGTGAATATAATATGCAGGCACTGGATTGAGTTTTATGAAAAGAAAAAAGAAAGAAGGGAATTTTTCTTAGTTCTTTTTCATAGTTCATAGGACAACAAATAACAAGATAGATTGCTTATCAAATGTGAGTAGTTTTACTATTTTTAGTGGCAAATTAGGCACTAAAAGGGCAGGTTTAAAGTCTCTCCTAATTTTGTCCTATAATCAGATAATTTAAATTTGACTATAAATAGAATCATACATTTTCCCACGATCTGCCTTTCATTTCACACAGTAAGAGTTGTATTATTTATTGAAAACATACCAATCCAGGCATTCTCAAAACTTCTTTCTTTTTTGACTTTAGTTTGTGATAATAAAGTATGATATCGGAATCCTGCCCTGTGGCTGCAAAACATTAAGTTCCTTGAGGCAATAAGATGCTTGTTGTTCTCGTTTAATCTACCAGCATGTCAGAATCCTGTACTTCCAATTTCAGAAGAAGTAAAAGATGAGAATGTGCTGTCCTCTCTTGCCTGGCCTGACCCAGTCTCCCTGATTTGTTTCAATATGCAGAGGCTTCCCTATATAAGCCAACTCCAACTCCAGCGTTTGGATTTTTCTGCGTTTCTCCATGTTTACAGTTCCTCTCCATTTCCTTCCAAGAAAAAGTGTGCAAACGACAAATGCGTGTTCTGATCATATTTGAGCAACAAAATCTTGACAGCGTTCTCACGACCATCAGGAAAAAAAAATTCCTTCCATGAACCTAACCCTAGAAAATGCAAAAATTATTGATAAATATAATGCAGTGGTCAACTTCTTATCTGTAGCCTACAAAACATTAGACATTAGTTTGTTGATGGGAATTAATACGGCCTAAAGTCCTCATTCATTCTTGACAGTTCTATCGTATTACTGCAAAAGATGCTAACATGTTAGTTGCTGGAGGTGGGGGGCAGGGGAGAGGGAATTGACAGAGATGGGAAACCAAGCTGCTTTGCAAATATTCACAGCTGCAGCTTTCTGTAATCATGCTCCTCTTTCCAGTTTCCAGTGGACTTTGAAAAGACAAATTCATAAGAGTTATTTAGCCATAAAAGGGAATCAACTCCTAAGCCCGGCTTCCTGAAGACCTCAGAAACTGAATTACCGCAGCACTCCCTGAGGTCCAGAGCACAGATTTTTGTTCCCCTCCCACATCCCTATCCCGAAGAAAAGAGTTTTCCCACTAGCTAAAATAATTAAAAACATTCTCAGAATAGAACACAAAATGTTCCTGGTTTGAATACAAGCCTATTTTTCAGGAAAAAAAAAATCAATGTATTGCATATTTACAGTTTGATATTGCAACAGTAGTGAAACTATCCGTGTGAGGACTTAATTGCATATAAAATAAATAAATAAAATGTGCAAGGGTAGTGTGTTCTTTCTTGATGTTCTTCTGCCTACCTTTTTGACTTGTTAACTAACTTCAGGGGAGAATCCTTAAAAGGAGCAATACACCAGCCCATATAAAGTCACTGGTTATCTCTGAACAGGAACTTAGCTTTTTAAATCCTGTCTAGGTAAATTACCTTTCCAGTGCAGGGTATTTCCTTTTAGGAGATTCCTTGGGAAGAGTCTCCAGGGAACTGACTAACTTTTTAATGGTTCACTCAGATTAAGAGGAAGGAAATGTGAACTCCTTTGGGGGGAGGAGGCACCACTCTAGGCTGTCTGCATCCTGTAATTCTTCCCAAGTCCGTGAATCATACTTTTAAGACTCCTTTTCAAGGGCATTTGTCTTCCTTTAAGAGAAGGCCAAAGCAGAAAAGATGAGTTTTAAAATAGGTCTCAATCAAGCTTTAGCCATAAAAACAATTGCATGATTCTCTCACTGACTACCCAGGAAAGGTTGAACCGAATCCCTTACCTGCATGCCTCCCCTCACCTTGCACAATACTCTTCCTTTCTTTAGTTTCAGAATTAAAATGACTTTTCATATCATCTCAGCATCTTTGAGCTACAATTCTGTACAACTCTTCCGTTTATAGCCAGCCACTGACACTGATTTCATTTATACCAATGGCATTGGAAGAACTGAGCTACGATAACATTTTTCAAAATCATTTTAGATAGAAATCTGGCTTTGAAAATAATGTCTTCACTTAATAAAATATCTACTATGTAGACAATTATAGACTATTTTTATACCTTTTCCACAAAGTATGAACATTTCTGAGAATAAATTTATCAGTGAATAAAGTTTATCAGAGGTTGAAGCATTTAGATCCTTCCAACTTCTGTAGAAGTATGAAGCCACAGGAGCACATTTCTAAAAGGCTACGATGTTACAATACCAGTTACTCAACCAATAAAGTGTATTTATTGAGTATCCATTAAGTAGTGATTTCTATTATTTTCAAGGTCCTGCAAAGAGTGGAAAAAGCCAGGTATGGTGGCTCACACCTGTAATACCCTCACTTTGGGAGGCTGAGGCAGGAGGATGGCTTGAGCCCAGGGGTTCCAGACTAGCTTGAGCAACATGGCAAGACACCTGTCTCCTATTTAAAAAAAAAAAAAAAAAAAAAAAAGAGTGAAACAACCTTGTCAGAATGTGCAAAAGGACAAATGTATAATGAAATGGAATATCCACAGAAAGTACACCAAGAATGAACACTAACATAAACTGTGAACTTCGGGTGGTGATGATGTGTCACTGTAGGTTCATCAGTTGTAACAAAGGCACCTGTCTGGTGGAATTGGGAGGACGGCACTACATGTAAGAATGTGAGGGTATATGAGGCCCAGCGTGGTGGCTCATGCCTGTAATCCCAGCACTTTGGGAGGCCAAGATGGATGGATTACCTGAGGTCAGGAGTTCGAGACCAGCCTGGCCAATGTGGTGAAATCCTGTCTCTACTAAAACTACAAAAATCAGCTGGGTGTGGTGGTTCACACCTGTAATCCCAGCTACTCACGCGGCTGAGGCAGGAGAATTACTTGAACCTGGAAAGCGGAGGTTAGAGTAAGCTGAGATTGTGCCAGTGCACTCCAGACTGGGTGACAGAGCGAGACCCTGTCTCAAAATAAAAATTTAAAAGTATATGGGAAATCTCTGTTCCTTCCTCTCAATTTTACTGTAAGACTAAAACTGCTCTAAAAAATTAAAGTCTTTTTAAAAATGTTCAAAATGAATGGATTCAAGGTGAATTAAATTATATTTAAATTAACAGGATTCTTAGAGTTGGTTTGAACAGTTCAGTAGCAATTCCTTAATCTAAAAGTATCTACACAACATTTATTTTTGACCTAAATTGATTTAATTTGTAGCAAAATGTGACCCACACCTATGTGGACGATGCAGTCTTTATTTATCCCAGTTAGTGCGTATTCATATGTGCCATTGCATACATATTAATGGATGCCATCCTGGACCCCCTGGTGATGGCAGATAGTATTGGGCTTTGTGGCCAAGATATCTTCCAAAATCCTAACAGTTCTGAATTACAGGACACATCTCATCCCAAGAGTTTTGGATATGAGATTGCAGACAAAAATATACTGAAAGAGAGAAAGTAAGTAAGGAAGAAAATAATAGAAAAGAGTTGTGTTCTGTTTTATCCCTTCTCTGATTTCTTGAGAGCTCCTAGTCTTAGATTTCCATGCAGGTCTCCATTATTATAATGGTCCATTTTTTAATTGAAATTTATTTTCAGTACTAAAGTGCAAAAAAATCTAGAAATGTAATTGTGATTTCTACTTAGGAGGACCTCAAAGGTTTTGTATGAATGCCTGTAGCCTGCATTTCGTTTCTATAAGTCTGTTTCAACAGAGTACTCAGAATAGATCTTTCTTTCCTCTCATTCTGGGTAGAAATGTCAGAAATGTGAGGCTAAGGATTTAAAGCATAAATTAGGGGTTTATTGATGAAAAGAAAGAAAGGAGGAAAGGATTGAAAGAAAGAAGAAAGAAGGAAAGAAAGGATGGAAAGAAGGGAGAAAGGAAAAAGAGAAGAAAACAAGAGAAAGGAAAAAAGAAACTTTAGTCTGTAGACTCTACATTAAAATGTTTCTCCATACTCAAGGCATCTTGAAAGAAAAGATGTCAAAGGCAAATTCTAATATTCTAAAACTGCAATCCAATTGCATAAAAACATAAATTTAAATCATTTGGAAGAAAATATTTATATATCCTATATTTTTGTTTAGAGCTGATCTCCATAAAATCTCTTATAATATACAGATCCATATTACAGAGATTATATATACAAATATTTTATTGCTTATGCATAAAACCTGATTTGTTGGGGGATATAAACTATGGCTTTCTCAGGTATCACTGCTACTTGATTGTTCTGAGTATTGGCTTTCTGACAGGGATTGGAATGAAGCCATTTTTATTAATTTAGTTATTTTTGCTGATATAAAAGGCCGTCTATCATGTTAATGATGTATCGGTCTGCGGTCCCACCGAACAATAATTACAGAATGTTCCTAATAGTAAATCATTTGTCACAATCACAGCTCAGTACAACAACCTTTTGTTGAGCAGGGGAAGACATTATCTGAATAGCAATACACCTTTATGCGAACCGATGAGAGGTCTTACACGGACCAGTCCGGCAAATACCTGAGAGTTCCACGTCTGAACTGTCCATCCCCACATTGCAACTTGGGGATGTGCACTGTGATCTGCTGAATTTTCTCCAGTGTTAGCCTATCTAACACAATGAAAACAACACGTTTTGCCCAGGGAAGAACAGATGAGGTTTCACAAGAATGTAAAAGAGACTGCTCTGAAAAGGAGAAGAAATCAAATAATCGAAAAAAGGAAAATATTAAAGGTTTTTACTTCCATTTCCCCTTTCAGCAAGAATTGGGCACAGAAACGATATAATACTCAAAAAGAAAAATCGAACTTAACAAAAAGGCATTGCTATCTAAATTAAATGAAAGCCCCATCATCAGAATGACATAACGGTCAAGTTCTTCTTTGTAAAGATTCACAAATTGCTTTCAGTTATTTTTGAGCACTATTTGTAAATCATAAGAGCCAACATTTTTGGAGTATTTCTACGTGCAGGGAAACTTTTCAAAATAGACTTAATTTTTTTAGAACAGTTTTAGGTTCACAACAAAATTGAGTAGAAGGTACAGATATTTCTCATACAGCCCCTGCCCCCTGACTGCTGCCCCACCTCCCCTGTTCCACCCAGCCCCCTCCCCCTTGTTACAATTTATAAGCCTACATTGACACACCGTTGTCACCCCAGGTCCACAATTTACATCAGGAACTCTCTTAAGAACTTAATGTGCATTAATTCTTTTCAGGGTTTCAAAAACTTTGATATTAGCTCCATTTTAGAGATAAGGGAACTGAGGCAGAGAAGAGTTAAGTCACATCAGGGTGATTTCTGAGATTTGGTCAATTTCAAACCCTAACCTGGTTGATTAACTACTTCTCATTATCGAAGTACCCCAGTGAAAATAAATCAACAACATCTGTTGGATACCCATATGCTTGTCGAGATTTTGGTGAGATGATGTCAATCATGCCAGTTTGGCAAGAATATCCCCATTTCATGGACAAAGTAACCCAACTTCAGAAGAGGAAAAGCTAGGATTTCAATATTGGTCTATGACATGAAGCCTGCATCATTATCACATGACCCCTCTGTCCCCATATTCCCGTGTTCTGTAGGAAAAGCTGTCCAGTTAATGAGTAATTGTGTCATGCATGGCTTGAGTGACTGTGTTTTTTATAACAATGATACTCAAACTTGAGGTCCATGGATTTTATAAAATCACAGAAACAACTAACTTCACTTTAAGGGTATGTACTTCTATTTTTTATTTTCTACACATATGAATTCTTGATTAGACACTTTATTGAGACAGGAATGAGTGTATGTAAAGGAAGAAATTCTAAAATATTTGTTCATTAAGTCCAGTGACTTGAAAATAACCTCAAGATCAATTAAAATATAGGAAGTAGAGGGAGCCATAAGTTGTGCTATGAGTTTAAAAGATCACATCACAGAAAAGAAAAAGATTTTTTTTAAAGCATCAACAACAGAAATTGTTCTAGAAGTTTATGCATGGGCTTCCCAATTTTCTTTGTGTTTTAAAAAACCATGCATAGACCTCTTGCTCTTTGATTGCCCCAAAATGAATTTGGAAGGCTCAAATTAGCATTAAATGGAATAACTTGTAAGTACCCCCTCCCCTCAGACACTTACCCTTTCTTTTATTGTCTAGAATTCTGTTGGAGATACCCTTGGACTCCAACAGGCAAGTCAAACTTGTTTTTCTAGTGTCAAATCCAAAATACCAATTAAGTTGAACAGGGAAATGAATATGCTTATAAATTTTTGACAGCCACTGATAGCGATAAGGAAGTCCTTGGTCATAACTTGAAATCAGTTATCAGGGGATACCAGAGGAGCAGAAAGTTGTTTCTTGCCAAGCCCTTGCAGCCTCTTTTCCTCACACTGGCCAGATGGCCTGGAGGTGGCACTTCCAGCTGCTTTTGGAAGGAACCTGCTGCAAACACACAGGCATTCTTGACACTGCCACCACACTGCTTTCCAAAGGGAAGAAGTCCTGTTTGAAAAAACAAAAAAAAATCAAATGGCTTCCTCTTGCCCCAACCTCGCTGTCCCCTACCCCTATGTTCTGTCCAGAAGAAAAATCCCTCAGCCGCAATGGTTGTTTTTATTAAATTCTCCTCAATAAAAAGCTCAGGCAGGATTTATTAGGTACTCAGGGCAGACGTTTAGTATTTCGCCAGTTATTAAGTGAAAATCAATAGAAAGCAAAGAAAATGGAAGTCACTGCACTGTTAGCGCACCGTTGTCGCCCAGATATTATGTCGGCTGTCTTGTAGATTCATGACAGACGAAAGAGGCCGGGAGAGAACTTTCTGCTTACATTGCACGAGCCAAAGTGGGGTTATTCATTAGAGCAGGCAGCCGGCCAGATGGATTTCCAGTTCAGTTTTACCATTTATCTTTAAAACGCCTGTATCGAGTGAGAAAGAACACTGATATTATGTGATATCAATGGCAGGTTTATGTATCTAAATCAGGATTTATTGTTATTTTGTTCCAAAGACCTTTTTTTCTCAAGAAATACCATTTCACTGGAAGAAAATAATAGCTAAAACCTTGTCAAAGATAACCTTTCATGCTGTCCGTGCACCACTAGCTGTAAAACAAATAGAACCCAGTATATAAATAGTTTTAACCACATCCTTACAAATCATTTCTTCTGAATCTGTTTTCCCCATTTCAATATATATATTTTTTAATGCCACATACATGATTTTGGGTCATTCAATGTTTTCTTTGCCTGTAGTTTAGCTCTAAATAATGTCAGCAATTGTTTTAATTCCATCTAAAAGCTTTAGCTGGTTTGTGTTCTTCTGTGGAATGCCACATTTCTCAAAAAAATTCCTTGGAAAAGCAAAGTGATCTGCTGGATTTTTTTCTTCCCCGCCTTAGAATG